AAGTGAGTCACACATGCGATATTAGCACAACAGAAAAGTGTGCATACACACGAAGTAAATCGCGAAATAAAATGCAATAAGCAAATGTCTGACATAAGTGTGCAAGCACACATTCACTGTGCACACACATGAAATGAAAAAGCAAAAGTCATAAACTTGACATAGGTGAACACGTGAGGACAAAAATAATTCCAACTTTTTGTTAGACCAGAAACATATATTTTCTCTTTCTTGTAGGACCACAGACAAAGCCTTACAACCTTTTAGGATCACATAAGGAAATTGTGACACCTGTAAAGTTAGCTCACACAAATATATTATGAATTAAAATAAGCTTGATAGATAAGACAACAAAGAGAAAACGCCACTTGACAAAATGTGTGAGACAGTAAGTAGATGCTTGCACAAAAGAACGATGTGTGCACATATTTGCTCAATAATTCATTGTCCACTATAACATAAGTTTAACAAAAATATCAACAGGCAGAACAGTGTTGAATTTAAAATAAAATAATTGTCAAAGAAAATATTCTCTTGGTAAAAAAAAATAGCCTCATAGAATCATCAAAGCCAGTTTTATCAGGAGTTATCCCTTCTTTAATTTCGTTTTCAGCTCCATTGCTTCATTTTGTCACTGTCAATATAAGAGTCTTTAATTCCCTCCTTATAAATACGAGACTCTTTAATCTTCCTCTTTGTTCAACAAGGAAAATATTTGCTCCATTTTAGTGTTCTTCATCTACTTCCATCAAGGTAAAAATTGTATTGTTAGTATTGAGTCAAATGGTTGCATATATTATATGGTCCATCATAGTCAAAAAAAATAAAAAATAAAAAATAAAATAAAATAAAATAAAATTAAACAGTTTAAACATGAGTATGCTTCAAATTAATTAAACAATTTCAAAGGGGAATATGAAATTAACCCATAACAAAAAGACATCGATGAGTATAGTTAAAAAATACGGTTTTATTGTTTTTTAGCTGGTGGCTTTAATATTATATCATTGTATTATATATGCTCATGGCCACAATCAAGTAACAACTTAACTTTACTCATATCTAAATGTCTCTTATATATACACATAGAATTAGCTAAATCTTTTGTACAAGAGCAAAAATGAAAAGCTTCTTAATCCCTGCCATTCTTTTCCTTGTTCTCTTTACCACTATAGGTAGATTAAATTTAAAAATAATCTCGATTGATTTTAATTGTAATTAGTGTCATAATCCTTGGATAAAGCTATTCTAATCACGCATTTTATAATTCTTGTAGGTAATGAGCTATTGATGGTGGATGCTAAAACGTGCACAGAAATATTAAATCCTAAAAGTGGTTGCGGGGTAGAAACTTGCGTTGGAGCTTGTTAGGCAAAACATGGAGGCAAAGCTTAAGGGACTTGCACCAAGTTTAAACTTTATTGCACTTGTACCTTCCCCTTTTAATGATCCCTTGTATTGTGAGAAGAGGCAGTAGAAAAACAAAGAAAAATCTAAAAAATTTTGGTGTTTCTTCTTATTTCTCATAAAAAGTTAAGTGTACAGCTGATGAGCTTATATACAGAGCAGAGTAACAGAAGCATACCAGTTCCAACAGCTTATAACTGTATTTTAACGGAATTATAAACAGAAATGTAACGGAGAGGACTTAGCAGCCTTGTACTTGGCTTGCTTGTACATTTTCTCTTTTACATATTGTATTATGGCTATTAATTAGGGATTTAATTAAATAAGAGTGATGCTGTTGGCTCCTCAATTATGAACTAAAAGTAGAATAATTAAAATATATATATTTGTTTTACTTATCTACGTTTTCCATTGATATATTGCATGATATTAACTTCAGTATCATTTTGTCGTCAAATACATATTTGCTGTAGTTGTTTTGATAACATCAATGGCTTTAACCGATTTACTTAACATCAAAAGACATTGTTTAGTGTTAGATATCAATTGATTTTTTCGTAATCAATGTAATTTATATATGAAATTTATACTGTATATATAATATTATTCTTAATTCTTTATTTAATACGAGCTGATAAACATATTTAAATAAAGGCATTAACAAGGGTAAGTACAAACGCATTGATGGAAGCATTCCCCTACAGCAAATTTTCCGAACTTAATCTTGCAATTCACTTGACAAAAATTAAGATTGCAGCGTCCGTATTGGAACAATTCCTCCTGACACTTTCCAGCATCAGCCATAGCCACCATTAGCTCATTGCCTATAATTATGAAATTAAGTACAATAAAATATTAATTAATATCCATTCTAGATATGAATAATATAATGCCACATATATAAACTAACGATTGTCAAAACTCGTAATTCAATACCGCATATTCAAAAAATTAATAAATAATATTTTAATTGGAAATACATAGTGAGAGTTTCGTTTTCTCTGTCATATTCATCTTAAAATAACTATATAATCCAAGTATTTTTATTGTTACAAAAATTCTAAAGGTGGCAAAAACTTGTAATTCAATACACTTTACACAGGATGTTAAGCCTACCTTAAATATTTGAAATTTTTTCAAAAAACTTGAAAATTTTCAAAGGCCTGGAGTGGTCATTAATGAATTTGATATTGGATCATGAACAACTAACAAATGAAAGGTTATAGATCATGTTTATGTTATTCAGATTGATCATTTCCTTTGTATTTGTACTTCCATTTTTCCGTATTTGACCCAAACTAATTAGTATAAGGAATAGAAAAATAAATAACTTTAACGATGAAAACTCATTTATAAGAAATTAAAATATAAAATTCACCTGTAATAGTGAAGAGGACAAGCAAAAGAAACACAGAGAATGTGAAGCTTTTCATGTTTTCTCTGGTTTGAAAGAAGTAGCCAAGCAATATTGCAATTATGAGATAAGAATTAGGAGAGGTTGAGTTCCTAGAATTTATTTTAAAACAACCCATCAAGATTTATGATATGGTGCTAAAATTAGTATAAAATCTCTGTAGTTAATTATATTTCAATTTTGATAAAGGATGGCAATTATTAAAATTTAATAATGGATTCACTTATATATATACAGTAAAATTTCTCTATAATAATACTCTATATAGGAATAAATTCTACATAGTCATAAAAAATTCTAGTCCCAATTTGTGATAGTTATAAATAAGAATAAACTCTACATTGTAATAAGTTATCATTTTTCTAATTTCTGCCTTAAGGAAAGTTACCTCTAGATAGTAATAATTATCTGTATATTATAAAAAAATATATGTTATGTAAAATTGAAGGTTTAAAATGAAATAAAATATTTATTTAAAATTGTTTGGGACAATGATTTATGTTTTAGAGTTGTTATCACATCTTTTACCTTATGAGTACGTAATAGCTCGTTAGCATGAATACATTTTTGTTGAAATCAAAATATTTTTAGTTTCTCAAGCATGTTTAAAGCTTCATGACACAATACTTTTTGTATTTCCGTACTATTATTCTTAGGATTATTTTCTTTTTCTTCTTGTCTAATTGCAACAATGATTTCTCCTTTGGTTAAAGTATACACGATTTGTTGTTCATTTGAATAATCGAATAAGACATTAATATCCATTCGATTAGTGTAGTGAATTTGTCGAATCTGATCACTCAATTCTATAGTGACTCTTTTATTCTTCTCATCCACTTTATTTGTAACTTATAATTCATTGACATTAGTGATCCTTATTTTGCAGCGCTTAAAACCATTGACAATTGCCAGTGGCTTCACATTAATTGACCATGTATCAACTGTATTTACAGTTTCATCAATGACACATATTTTTGCTGGTTCTAAAAAACGATCTTTTATCCGTTTCAAAAGTAGACAATTGAAACGCTGTATTAAAATTTTAATATTACTAAAATATGAATTGAAATTCTAATATTGTACCACTAAAACATGAATTATAAAATAAGAAATCAAAACTATAAGTTTTGTAACTACACCTCCATTAAGTTATAACCTCTTTATAATAATAAAATTGGTTAGTCTTAATATTATGACTATAGAGAGGTTTTACTTTTATATATATATATATATAAAGATAGGAAGTATAGCACCGTAAACTTAAAAATCATGCTTTTAACCATGTGATAACTTCTGCCCTTGAAATTATATATGAAAAATGCTATCCTTACAAAGACCCATACAAAGAGGGCTACAAAGTGACATCATCCAGAAGAAAAAAACAAAGAAAAAACGGAAAAAGAGAAAAAGAGAGAGAGAGAAATCATGAAAATCAAGGGTGTGGATTGTCTTTGTATGCCACCTTTGTATGTGTCTTTGTAAAACTAGCATTGCTCATATTAGATCAATAGGCATTACAAGAATTTAGGCTTCTCGTAACAAGATAATTTGTCACTATAAATATTATAATCGTGACCATTTTGCTAATGTAAGGAATTTTATTGGTCACTAAGTTGGTCACATTAAGCTTGTACTCATAAGTGTATAGTAACGAAAGAATGTTTGGTCACCATAGCCTAATTATTTATTGTGACAATAATAATTTCACTTTAAATTAGTTTATTATGATAAATTATTTGTAACAATAAAAGATAATTTTTATCACTACTGAATATAATATTTTGTCACAATTGATTCACATCTAAAACCAAATGATAATTTACATTTAAAGACCAAATGGTAATAATATATTATGCCAAAATTGATTTTATCAAAATTGTGAATAATTGACTAAATTATTTGCTCATAATTTTAATAGTGACATAAATTTATTTGTTATTAACTTTATTGTGACAACATTTATTTTGTCACATGTTTGTTTATATGATTATTATTTGTCAAAAATTGTATAGCGACCGAAATAATTTTGTAAAAAATTTAATAGCATAACAAATAACTTTTGATACAAATATTTTTACATAACAAATTTTTTATTGTCAAAATAATATAGGCGACAAATATATTTTGTCATCTCAAATAATGATAATTTCTAAAGGCAGCTGATATTTAAAGTCCCCAAACGAACTTTATCTTCATCCTCAGCATTTTCCTCTTCTTTGGCCTTCCCTTCCTCTTCTTAATTGCATCAACAAGAACCTTCTCCATCACTGATAATTTCTAAAGGCAGCTGATAGTTAATAAGCAGTAAAGTTTGTTTTCCTTTCTCAGTTCCAAGCTCCTGTAACATCTGCTTGATATCTCCAGCAATGTTTATGTTATAGGTTGGATCTGAATTCATTTTCTTTAGTTCTATAGAATGTAAAACAAGATGTTGCAATCATTAAGGAGAAAAAGAAAAAGAAAAATTTAAAACTGACATTACAAGAGTGGCAAATGGTATGGCTCACCTTCATCATCAAGTTTCAGACCTTTTTTAACAAGATCAAAATCAAGAGTAACCTTGTTCTCAAGAGCATTAGGATTCTGCAAAGCACATCACCAGAAAAAGTCCTCGTAAATCATGAAATTCATGCCATTTAAAGCCACCACCATGCAATCAACGAAGTTAAACATCATATGTTCAGAACAACTAATTACCTGAATTGTTATAAGGTCTTCCTTAGTGAAAGGTTCATCAGTTAGGAGCTCTTATTAATTCTTCATCTTGATGTTTAATTCTTTGATTGCCTATAAGACAAGAGTACAAAGATGAAGAATTTATCTACATTCTATATACATGAACTTGAAGTAATATCACTAAAAGTGATGACAATCCAAAAAACATACATCATAGCAGAACACGTTCCCTATAGTCCTGACAGCAACAATGTGAGTAAATTCAGTGACAACTTTATTTAGCATGGGGAAATGGTACTCTCCTCAAAAGAAAGTAAAAAAGAGTTTTATATTGTTAAGATACAATAGTAGTAAACCAGGGGAATATAGAACTCAAAAACAAGATAAAGACACATGTCTATAGGTTTGAATTTATGATATCATATAAGTATCGTACCCATGTATTTCATGGCTGTTTAGGATTGCAGACAATTTTACCAACAAATTGAACATTAAGAATAACAATAATTGGAAAGCAGAAGTATTAATGCCAAAATTTCCATTGCAAAATCTATGAGCTTATAGATATAGTGACATCAGATATCTGCTATACCGCTTCCATCATATTCCCATCAACAAGCAAGTTGTTGAAGATCTCCTCTCTATTCATTCAATTAAAACTAAATTCAGATAAATACCAATACATCTATTATTCATGAATTCACATACCAAACATAAGCCACACTTCGAAAGTTCAGTTTATCTTCCTTCCTTCACTATACAATTTGTCTTACAGTGGATTTTTTCCAAGAACTAAAGCTATTCCTTTGTGCTGATTCCTCTTATATATTCTTTTTACCTCCTGAAAAAAAAATGTCACTTGAGAACTAAGACTTGTTTGGCAGTCCTAGCAACCGAAAGCCTATTAGGGCTCATTCAAGAACAACAACAGTCTAGAGGCTCTAACTTCACCAGCAAATTGCCCTGCCTAAAAAACAAGTCAACACATTCGACAGTTGGTATGCCAACTTTCGAAAATGCAGTAATGGTACAATTGGGAAGATTGGCGGCTGGAAAAAAAAAAAAACACAAACTCACGGCAACGCAACATAACAACAATCAAGCTCCGATTAACACTAATTCTATCAAATTAACAAAACCAACTGCAAGTTCGGGATTCTCCAAGTCGCCCACAGCGGAAAGAACATAGAAACACTATGCTCATCAGGCGTAAATCCTTCAAAATGCATCCTTTGAAACAAAAGAACCGTCTCTTCGTAATGTCCACTGTTATTAAACCCTGCAATCATACCATTCCAGCTAAACTCATCGGGTTCCACTCTTGAAACTCATCGGGTTCCATTCTTGAAAGACCCATGTCGTTAAAGTGTTTTTTCGCTACATCCACACACCCTTGTGGCGAGTAAGCAGCAAGCAGAGCACTAAAAGTTTTCACGCCCGGTTACGCTAATCTATCAAACACCTTGTGAGCGTCCCAACGTTCTTCTGACATTTAACGTACATAAGAACCAAAGAAGTCTGAACAAACGGATCTAAATTAAACCCGTATACAAATACCATTGCATGAACTTGTTATCCCCTTTCCAATGACAAAAATCCGGTGCGAGCCTTAAGAATATCAGGCAACAAGTATTAGGTGTCAGACCGTGAGAGAGCATTTGAGCGAAAACATTGAGCTATTGAGTAAAAAGATTTTGTTTCGAGTAGGCATAGATAATAGTAGAGTAAGAAAACGTTGTCGGCTCAAGAGAAGAAGAAAGGATTTGGTTTGCATCATCGAAGTCTTGGTGATTTGCAAATTGAGACAGAAGCTTTGTTGTAAGATCCGTGTCGTTAGAGACGCCGGTTGTGAGAATGTGAGCATGCGCTTGCTGTGTCTGTGATAGAGAAAATTTCAGTGAGATCCGTGTCGTTAGAGACGCCTGTTGTGAGAATGTGAGCATGCGCTTGCTGTGTCTGTGATAGAGAAAATTTCAGTGAGTTGAGGGTATGAAAGCTTGGGAGTTGAATGTTTTCCAAGTAAGGCTTGTTTCGTCAAGTTTATGATACGTTAACCCTAATTTTTCAAGGGCATATTAACATTATATCGGAGGGCTCTGATTTGTTCACGCAATAGTAAGTTTAGTTTGCTTCAAAAGGCAAAGAAAATACAAATACCGTACAATTGAGCCAATTAAATAAATACAAGTAAATATTTATTTTTAACTATAAATAATTAGATAAATAAATACGACCATTTCAGCGAAGAGATGTAAAGAGAAAAGAGAGTGAAAAATATGCAGAAAGTAAATTGTGCAGACCTAATATTACAATCAATTTCGGTATTGTTTTTCGTCTTGAATAATTTATCTAAATGAAGTGTTCAAACCCAATCAACGTGTTTGCTACTTCTCGTGCTTTCCACATTGTAAACATGTTGAATTCTTCCTTTGCTTTCCACTTGTTGGAATGGTTCTTCAAATATCAAGTTAAGATTCACAATATCAAGTTAATTGTATTTTTCTAATAAATACTGAAAGATTCATAAGGCATGACAAATATTCATAATAATATTTCTTGTTTTAATAACATTAGTATTAGTTTAGTATAAATAGGTTAATACAAGTTGTAAGTAAAGTAATTTAATTTTTAGTTGCGCTCGACACACATAAACAATTTGAGAATTTTATTGTGTAATTTGTATTCAGATTGAATTTAATTTGTAATCTTTTATTATTAAAGCCAAAAATGGTACATTATATTTACATTTATAAAATTATTAATGATTTTGTATTTTTTACAATTTTTTGACCTTTTCAAGTTTTTAAAAATAAAAAAAAAAAAAAAAAAGTAATAATTTAACAATAGATTAGGAATTGAAATTTGGGGACAAATATTTGCAACAGATTGAAATGTGTTGCTACGATTTTACAAACAGATTTTCATCGCTAATTTGTTAGTAATTTGTTTTAGAACAAATTTCTTTGATCTAGTTAGATATAGCAAAACCCGATCCGCCCCTGATCACCCTTCGATCCTGACCAAATTTCCTAGCCCTAGACCTCATACCCAATCCTATGCGTTAACAAGTTTTTTTTTTTTTTTTTTTTTTTTTTTTTTAGTGATATATAAACTAAAATTATATGAGTTCTTTTTTTTTTTTTTAAATGAAATATATGTTATTGCTAAAAACTTAAGAGGAATGATATTTTTAGCAATTTTTGTACAAAATATCACATTTAATTTGACCCAAATTTTTGTCACTAATACCTCGATTTTAACATTTATAAATGATTTTTTTTGTAATGATAAATAATTCTTTATGACAAATTAGTTTGTAATTATAGCATGTGTTACTAAATATAGTGACTAAAGTTTTTGATGATAAATAGTTTATCACGGCAAACAATTTATCTTGGTGCTTCAAATTTGACTCAAACATTTTGTCATTAATACCTCTATTTCAACATATATTATGACAATTTTTTTTTTGTAATAATAAATAAATTCTTTTGTGACAAAATAATTTGTAATTATAGCATGTATAACTAAATCTAGTGACTAAAATGTTTTATAACAAATATGTTTGTCACAATAAATAATTTACCTAAGTGCCAAAATTTGGTGCCAAAAATTTGTGACGAAATATTATGATAAAAGTGTTTTATTCACTATATTTCTTATATTTTTCTTTATGGTGATAAAATATTATGACAATATGTTTTTTAGTACTGTAGATTTCTTTGTTTACTTAATGTGATGTTTCTTATTTAATCATAATACCTATATACTCGTGACAAAATAACATTTGACAAAATTAATTTTGTAATAATATAATGTATTCTTGTAGTGAGGCCTGTAGACGTAAAAATCTACCTGTACGGAAAGGAGGTCTGATCCCTGAGGTTGAGGCCACTAGCGATCTGCTGTACCTGCACACGTAGAGAAACACACGCGTGAAGCGAACGGGAAAAACCAGGGTGGTGTTTGCCGTGGCACTCCGACGCTCAAGTCAGCAAGGCTGAAAGGCTTAATATAGTGAGGGCTAGGAATAAGAGATTACCGGAAGTCTAGTCAGGGATGTGACTCGGCGAATCAGTGAAACTCTCGAGTAAAGAGTCTCGGGTGTGAAGGTGTAATGTCAATGTTCTTTGTGAGAGGGCAGGCCTCTGCTTATATAGTGGTCGTCTGGTCTCCCAATCCTGGTGGGAACAAGAGTCCTCGTATGACTCGATGTAAACCCTAGAAGAAATAGGGTCGTGGTGAGTCGTCTTACCCGTGTCCAAATAGGAAGATAACTCTGTTTAAGAGAATTCGCTAAGTAGGAAAGTGATCAGGAATAGGAAGACGTCTTTGAATAGGAGGTTGACTGGGAGTAGGAAAGTACTATGACAGGGCTGTGGGCTCTGGGTTCGTCCGTGGACCTAGGAAATGGGCTAGGTTTGAGAGGCTTGTGCCCGCTTGATTTGGGCCGGTTTATACCTCATGTTAAATAGAATTAACATGACTTGGGCCTTTGCAAGACTGGGCCTGGTCCATCTTCGCTAATGGTCCTATTTCCCTATTTGGGCCAAGGACGATTTTTGGCCCTAACAGTTTGTCCCCCACTCTCTGAGTTGAGAGAGTCTCAGGTCAGAGAGTAGGTTGCATTCAAGGCGAGCTCGTTCTTTCCTCATGGACGAGCGGTCATTGGAGAGAGCTGACCGACGCAAGTGATTTGATTGGGTTTTGGTCGGTATCCATTCCTGAACAAGAGCATGCCACCATGCGTTGTGCCTGATCGGTTCGATGAGCCGAAGAGCCGAAAGCTAGGTTAGGTCGCTCGGTACGTTAGCGCGATTATCACGGAAACCGCGCGAGTGGCGATTATTCGTCCTGCCAGGTCGGGCGAAGCTCAGGAAATTTACCGAGGAGATCCATTCGGTCGGGCTGTTGGGACGACCTGATAGGTGGGGAGACCGAACATGTTGGCCACTCGTTCGCCTCGGATGGACGAATGGACGAGGCTTAATGGCTTTCTGAGGATTTGAACTCGGGCTACGCCAAGCTCGTGCGTCGGTCGTCCGGGGCTTCCGGGACGGTTGAATGCGAGACGTCTGAGAAGGCTCTTGGCCTGAGAAGCTTGATCGGTGCGACGGATCGACGGCCTAGTACACTGTTGGGGCAAATGTTGGGCGTGTGTCAGGACATATTTCTGGATGTTCAGGCTGAGTCGGTCAGGAGGGTCGGGCGATACGTCCGCAGGTTCGAGTCAAGAGGTGGATTTGGGGGACGAGTATGAGCGTGCCCCGACTATGGTGGTAATGCCTAAAGGGAGTGTTCCGGTCGGTGTGCCGATCGAAGTTAGTGTGGCTGCTCCAGGGTCGAGTGGAGTTGGGCCGAGTGGCTCGGGTCGGTATGGTAGGAGTGGGGAAGACTCCGAAGGGGCTGACAGTCCCTCTTCATCCGGTAGCAGCTCTGAGGAAGGGCCGAGCCAGCAGGGCAGTGGGATTCTGACCAGGGATTATCCACCCGTGCTGAGGGATGGTGACGTGTGGCGTATCCGTACACTGTATCATATACCTGGTTCTGTTAAAGTCTGGACCTCACGGTCGTATGAGCGTGTTGATTGGGAGGCTGAAGGTTGGGTCTGCGTGTACGAGAAATGGTTTCATGATGGGTTGAGGTTGCCTGTGCCTCGCCTAGTCTGGGAGGTGCTGAATCACTTCATCATCGCCCCCTCCCAGCTTATGCCGAACGCTTGGAGGCTGTTAATGGCCTTGGAGGATCTGTGTGTTCGGCACCAGATTGTGTTCGGGTTGCACGAGCTGCTGTACTCATACTTCCTGAAAGAGAACGATAAGGAGAAGGGCCGATATTTGCTGAACTTGAGGCACGATCGGTCTCATCTGGTGACCGACCTGCAGTCTAGTGATAAAAATTGGAAAGACCGTTACTTTTACTTGAAGAATCAGGCCGTTTTCGGAGATAGGGGCGTGGGCGAGATCCCGATCGGGTGGCGAGCCACTGGTGAGAACTTTGTTGTTTCCTTCATACTTTTGATTACTAAATCTGGATTATGTTTTTTGTTTGCAGAGCTTGATTTCAATCGCGCTGGGCAGAGTGGGGACGGCTTGGACGTAGCTACCCAGAGGGTGTTAGCCATCCCATTGGAGCAGAGGGATTGGCGAGTGGTGCTGGCAGAGTCTAATCTGAGGAGCAGTATTCTTTGGGTCGGAGTAGAGGCTATTCAGAGAGGTACTCCCTTCCCCTCGCTGAAGCAGACTTGGGATGTGCTCTTGAGTCGATACTCCAACCATATCATTTTTGGTGAGTCCGGGCTGAACCCACTAACCGTTGAAGAGTTTGCACTTGTAGAGTCACTCATGAAGAAATTGACTGTCCCGAGTGCGAGCGAATCCATCGCCAGGTGTCGAGAGAAGAGGAAGAGGGAGTCGTTGGTGAGAGCGGATGTGAGGGTTGAAGACGTATTGGCGACGCCGCCCAATCGGCAGCTACCGAGTCAGCAGCCTTCGACGGGAGTCGGGTCGTCCCAGGCTGTCGTTGTGGATAAGGAGGCCAGGACTATCACTATTACGATTCCGGGTACTGCGTCGACTTACTCGGACGCGACATCTATGAGTAAGCTGGCCGACTCTTTCTTGTTCCCAGCGGACGAGGCGCGTCTGGACCAGATGGGTGCGGTTGCTGCCGCTGACTGGGGTGTATCCCGCGCCGTTTAGGTATGGCCGTACTTGTTTATTTTTCTTGTTTGATTCTGTTCTCATTGCCCAGTTTTGTTTTGCAGGTACTCACTAGCAGTCTCCACCTGAGGAGGTCTGTCGTGGCGTAGGAAAAGCGGATACAGGATATATCCAAGGCCAACGCTGGTTTGCGGCGGCAGGAGGCAGCATCCCGAAAGGCTGAACAGGAGAGTCAGCAGCGCCTCTGGGATAGCGAGGCTGAGATCGAGAGGCTGCGGCGCG